CCTTTCTGGCTCTCTGTTTTCATGCACGTGCCCTTTTAACCCTTTGTCTTTCGAGGAGCCAGTGAAACTCACAAAATTCCACATCATGTGAATGTACTGCTTTAAACATTCTTTCTTTTGGTCTTCCATTGGGCCAACAATAAAAAAACACACATCTCAATCATAACAAGCACTGTCCTGCAAGAGCTGACTGCCAAAGATGACTTCAGTATCACACTCTGCTTCTCTCTTTCCTGGCTTCCTGGAATATGTCAATAACTCTTTTATTTTGGCATATGTGTGCTCTGTGATCCCTCTTCCAGTTTCTTGTTGTAGTTGGTTACTGTGTATCATGGCATATCCCAATGAGGTGCTACCCACTCAGAAAGATATGTATTACACTTGTCCAGTCCTCCTGCTCAGCACTGCCCACCTCCTGTATCACCATTGTTTCTCTCCCTAGAGCAAGCCTCAAGGCCCAATTCCTGCCTTCTTTACTATCCGTTTTCCATTGGAGTACTTAAGTTCTGTGTCATGAAGAGCCTGCATGCATATTCATCTTAAGCAAATGAACTGTTTGCTCATGATTATTTGTTGAGTACAAGTGTAAGTCAAATGCATTCAACAAAGCATTTTTATTTTGACCTATGATCCTATATATCTGTCCTTGCCATAATTTGTTGATAAGCCTAGAGATTCATTAATAGTTCTGGTTGATATATTAAGTGCAAGTTTTTTTTATGATATATAAATTGACCATAGGATTGAAAGAAATTTAACTTCTGTGACAAAGTCATATTAATTTTGGCATACATATTATGGCTAAAATTTTGGGCATTATAAACTTAAAAATATTTTTCCTACAATCATGTCTATCTTTTTCATTATTTACTTTTACCCTCAGCATACTAGGCCCTAGGTTAGGCTCAATTTGAGGGTTGGTGCTGTATGCTGTATATGAAGTATAGAACCACTGTTTGGGGGAGGTAAGCTGTACAGCAATTCTGAAGAAGCGTCACCTATTAAATTCAAGGCAACTGGTTTAGATCTCCTTTATATATAAAGAAGAGGTTCAATATAACACTCACAGCAGACCTGGGAAGACCTAACTCTGAGAACTTAAGATAAAACCGGAGTGAATGACTGAAGAAAGGTTTTAATTGTTAGGGATTGCACCCAAGGTGGGAGGGATAACCCAAAGCTTTTTGCCCAGTTTTCCCAGCCAATAATGCAAACAAATGCAGAGCATGCATAATCTCTAGTTCCAGTGCCAACAATACGATCACAAACTTTTGGAAGACTGGCCCTGAAATTCCTTTGTTCCAGTTTGAATAGTCTTTCCACAATTATTTACTTCTTTCGATGAAGAAATGTAGGTGTCATATAGTCTACTTTAGCACAGGGGGGCTTTTCGTTTCTGTATCCCATTTAGTTAATGGAAATGAAGGTTAATGCTGTGTGTCCTGTCACTCACTTAGGCTGAGGTGCTCCGAAGTCGGTACACTATGTTGACAGGGATACTTATAAATACAATGCATATGTGTATGTTGTACATCCCCGAGATCTGCTAAATGAGTATAAAATTCACTCAAACATTATTCAGAAAAGTCATTAGAAATAGATGCTTCTTCATTCCCCTCCCCTCCCCTTCTCCTCCCCTGCTCCCTCTCCTTCTACCCCTCTTTTGTCATGAACCCAGCATGTAGCTCTGATTATCTGGAACTCACTATATAGCCCAGACTGGGCTCACCCTGACATCAATCTTTATGCCTCTGCCTCCTGAGCAGCAGGAGGACAGGACTGAGTACCACTCTCAGCATCCATATCCATTTCTTAATCACTTGTTACATGATTTATCCATCAGGTCAGGGTTATTTTAGAAAGCAAGAGAATATGACTTTTCAAGGGTCATACAATCAAATTTCTCCTTGAACATGGGGGACATAGTCGTGTAATTGTGTAGACACAGCACCAGGTACACTCGGATTTTCATCACCCAACAAAGTATTCTCCAATTCTAAGTTGCTGTCACCCTCTGCTGGGTCAAAAAAAGCACACAAAATTTTATTGCTACTACACAAAGTAAAATAATTAAGAAAAATAATAAATACCAGTGTACATTATAAATTTTATTTTATTATTCTTAATTTTTGAAGCAGGGATCTTTACAAGTACTGTATGCCAAAGTAAGGTATATGTCTTAGTATAAACATCATTATTAAGAGGCTTTTGGCAGGAAAAATATTTTAATTTGAATATTCCAGGAAGGGTGCTTCCTGGTCCCAAAAGCACTTAAAGACCTCTCAAATATCAGAAAGACCTATCCGAATAAAGACACATCAAAAAGAACATGTAACTATGGACCAACATATCTGATGACGAAGTCAGCTTCATAGAACCAGCTTTCGTTTGAGTAGATGAGTAACCCAGAACCAAATACCCGTTCAGAAATTCTGGGAAACAAATGGACGATATATAACAAACCTATATCTCTCTGCTTGGAATCATGCGCTATCCAGAAAACCAGAAGCAAAACTTTCAGAGCTGTTCTTGAGAAACACACCACACCTAGAAGGGCAATTAAAAAACAGTCCTCCATTTGTTCATTCCGTATATTGGTATATTTAAGACACTCAGGTATTTTTAAAACAGCGCCGCGCGAGCAATCTAAAGGCAAACAGTAAAATCCATCAATTCAAAGTGACATCCCCTCCCTGAGAGGTGGTAGATTTGTGACTACTCTTTGACAGTAGCGTCTCTGAGTTCTGCTGAACCCTCTTTATTGAGCAAAAATTCAAGGACTCAGGACAACCCATTTATTGTACCATCCTTTGATGCCAAAGGGAGAACTAAAAAGAATAAAGCAGTAAGGGTGGCCTCTCGAGAAGCAGAGCCCTTGTAGGAATCCTGCAAGTTAATGAGAATTCACCCAGGACTCAAGAGCGATGGAGAGGGAGAGAAAGGAGGAGACAGGGGGCGGGGGCAAACCTCTTCCTCTGCAGCTGGCCCTGTCCCTCATTTGTTGCTCCAATAAGCAGTAATTAGGTCCTGAGCTAATGGTGTCAGCTGATCTGCTGTTTTTAGGCTAGACCCAGAGGAAATCTCCATGGAAACCCTGCTGGACTCGTCCCCCCACCTGGATGCCTCCAGCTCCTTTCTGCCACCTGGCTGCCGCCCGGCCCGCTGCTACCTCCTCCTGCCTCTAACCTGCAGCCTGCAGCATGCGCACTGCCCCCGGGATCCCTAAATGGGACAATTCTGCCCGTGACGTCAGCGCCCAGCCGTCTCCACAGAAACTTTTGTCCCATTGGCCAATCAGAGAGCTTGGAAGGGGCCTAGGGGTGGGGGGTGGGAGGAGAGGGGAGTGGGAGGGGTGGGGGTGAGGGGAGAGGCGAGAGGTTTAGTGTGTGGAGCTGCTCGCGCAGCGCCCCGGCTGTCAGTCCCGGCTGGGGCCGCCGCTAGACCTTCCCAGAGACTCGCACCCCCGCACCCCGCACCCCGCGCCCCGCACACTCTCGCTCGACCACACACACGCACACGCTCAGCCTGGCCGCGCGGGAGCCACAGAGCAGCCTGAGAGCAGCGGGACCGGCTGCGGGCGGAGGACTGAGCTGCATTCCCACCGGGGCTTTCGCCTGGGAGACCGAAGCGAGTCGCCAGGGTGGGCTCGGACCCCTCAAGGAAGGCGGCGCGGGTCGGGCCATCGGGCTGGCTGAGAGGATCCCTGCGACCCGCGGGGGCATAGGCAGGGAGTGTAATAAAGAGGAACGGCCGCAAGGAGCAGGACTGGAACTCCCCTGGTTACTGAGCCGCCTTGACACGAGGGTGGACATCCTGATGGAGGGATCGCTGACTTGGTTTGCTTGGGAAAATCGTCTGGAGCAACTCCGATTTGGCTCCTCTGAGCAGCGGAGGGGGGTCCATGACGTGGCAGTGGGAAAATAGACAACCGAAACCTCCCGCGTGAACAGCAAACTATAACCCAGGGAGGGGGAGCGACTGCTCTCTGCATTTTAATTTCACGCAAAAGGTTCTGTGCGGTAAACTTATTCCCATGTCTTGTGCCCACTTCAGCAGAACCCAGAGGGTCTTACCTTGGGGACACCGTCATTATCCCGGAGAGCCCCAGCCAGCGGCCTGCCTTCCTGCTCCCACGTTCTCCGGACCGGATTCCTGTTTGGGGTACTCCACCCGTCCTAGACAACTATGGTCAGGTGTCTATGAATACTGGGCCAATTTCTGAAAACTAACTCTTACAACCTACCTGCGAGCTGGAATTTAGCCCAATACATCTGAAGAAAAGGCATGTTGAGTCATTTTTGGGATACCTTCGTGTTCTTTTAAATTCCTGTAAAACGGGATCTGATAGGCTGACCAACATGACAGGTAAGAACTTTCTGTTTCTCTAGTCCTGTCACGGAGAAGGCCAAGGCTGAGCAGGACCCAGCAAGCAGGAGAATCCAGGGACCCGTGTGCCCTTCGAGGCTCGCCAACTGAGGGCTGTTTTCGCTAGAGGCGCAGCCCTGGCTCCTGGACCATCCACTGGGGAAGCTTCTGGGGCGCGCGCCAGGAGATTGTCTTGCGCTCCGCCTGCCCTGCCCTGGACACATCCCTGGGGCGAGGCATCTAGGGACCACCTCAAGTCAATATTGGGATTTTTAATAAACCAAGGAATGGGATTTTAATTATTCAGAAACCCAGCTCCTCTGGGCCAGCTGCTGTTGGGATGGTGCTGATCACACAGTATTAAACGGACCCTCCGTTAAGGGCACCAGAAAAGCGTCTGAGACATCCTTTGCAATTAGGAAAGAACCAGACTTGGTAGCACAGGGCATTGATTGCTGGTGCCCATCCGGACCCTCCTCCTCTCTCCCTGGTCCTACCCCCCCACACCCCACCGGAGGCAGCCTCCCGCAGCTCGGCCAGGACCTTGCGTCCTTGCATCCGTGGCCTGGGCTGCATATTTCATGAGCCCGGGGTGAACAGGTGCGAAGTGCGCTGGGAGCATCCGGCCCACGGCAGCGCAGGGGGAACATGGAGAGCGAGCGCGACATGTACCGCCAGTTCCAGGACTGGTGCCTTAGGACTTACGGGGACTCGGGCAAGACCAAGACGGTGACCCGTAAGAAATACGAACGGATCGTCCAGCTCCTCAACGGCTCCGAGTCAAGCTCTACCGACAATGCCAAATTTAAATTCTGGGTCAAATCGAAGGGTTTCCAGCTGGGCCAGCCGGATGAGGTCCGCGGGGGTGGCGGCGGCGCCAAGCAAGTGCTCTTCGTGCGGGTCAAGACTACGGTGAGCCGCCTTCTCTGTTATTTGTCTGCTGGAGCAGCCCGGAAGGGAGGGCGGAGAGAGGGGAAGGCAGGGAGATGCTGGAGCCACTGTTGGCTCCCCCCCCCAACCCCCTCCCCAAGTCCTCCACAGACGCAGTGGCCGGGCGTGATTTCCCTTCTAGAAAGTCTTTGTGGTCCTTTATTTTAAAGCAACAGCGAACCCGCAGAGCTGGCGGCCCTGCCTGCCTCGGGGCTGCGCTGCGGGACGGGGGTTGAAGCTTGCCTTCCCCGCGTCTGGTGGTGCCTGGTGTTTCCCTGGCCAGGCCATTGTCCCATGCCCTTCGCTAGGCGCCTGGCGCGTGCCCTACTTCCGCCAGGGCACCTAAAGGCCAGGCTGGAAGCCGAGTCACACGCTCTGATAACGAGGCTGATGGATAGGTTACTGTGTCTCTTTATTGGCACAAAGCACGAATGCAGCGGTTGAGGTGTATTTGAGGCTTTCCCCAGGACACTATCGAGTTTTGTTGTGAGAAAGCCAGCGGGGAGACACAGGACAGTCTGCGCGCCTTAGTAGCCCCCTGAGATCCTAGCCACGATTGTTTGGTTGGCAGATAAGATCCTGGACATTCCTCCTCCCCGCCCCCATCCCCTTCTTCACTCGCACCAGTGAAGCTTCCAGCTAGGCAATGCACAACAAAGAGATGGGTTTGGGCGCGATTAAATGGTGTGTTTGTTCCTCTTTCTGGGTTGGTTCTAGTCTTCTATCCACAAAGCTGTAGTGAACGAGGAACCGGCTGTGAGACCGGTATATTTCATCCTAAAACGTAGATGCCTGTGGGGCTGGGAGGCTTCAGCAGCATCCGCTTCCTTTGCAAGAAGATGGGAACAGGGGTCTACAAGTAAGATCTCAGGTCAGATGTACAACACCTAGAGCTGCCTCATGATGGGTACCCACCTAGAGTGGGGGTGGAGCAGCTATCTGGCACCCTTTGTATTTTTGTCTCGCTTGGGGATTCGTTGAGCTTTGCTCCTTCCTCCCAATCCCCCCCCCCCTTTTTTTAAGTGGCGACTATTTCCCAGTGCACAGCTCCCTGAGGATCTTAGAAGAAAGGCTTCTGGAGGAGAAGGCTGTGCTTTTTCTGAGGAGAATGAAAGCCACTTTCAAGCTCCGTCTGGAGGACTCACTCAGGTTTGGAAAGAAGCTTTTGGTTCCCCCAAGATTATTTGGGAATGGTTGCTTGGAGGATGGAGGTTTCTTTTGGATTTATCTGGAAAATTTGAAAACAAGGGTGGACTGGAAACACAGAAAAGTTTTTCCCTTTTCTTCTTGAGGTTCAGTTGTTGAAAGATTTGCAAGAGATAGATGTCAACGATGGTTTTGCTTTCTCTTGTAGCGCAGAGCGCTGCTAAAGACAATGGTGAGGCACTGGCTTGCCTTGCTGGATGAAAAGGACCAGTTTGGCATCATTTAGAGTAAGGTTTCTTTACATCTGCATGAGCCAGAAGTGTGTTACAGAGAGGAATTGCTTTGTTTCACTAGGATGGGGGACTAATGCTAAGAGTGGACAGGAAAAATAATTTATTGTTAAGCAGAGTGAATTATAATTCTAGCCGAGTGACTAAAATGTTGTTATAGCTTTTTAAAGTACTATTTAACATGGTCATATATCAATATTATAGATTATATTATATTATATATCATGGCTAGCCAGAAAGTTTTTTCAGTTTTTCATTCTTTCTGTGTTAAATTTAGATTCTCTGTTTGGGTCCAAGTGAGTTCATGCTTGTATGGATTTGATTACAGCCATTATATGTGTTAGAATGTGTCCCTTTGAAGACTAATTAAAATTCCAAATAACACAAGTTTTATAAAGGTTGTACAGGCACCTAGATAATCGTGGGTGTGAGTTATTCAAACCAGCATTCACATGCTGTGACACCCATATTTTCATGTCAAAAAAATAAACGTGGAGTTGTTAGAGACTCACTGCTAAGACACCTAATGGAGAGTGCCAGCTGCAGGGGGTAATAACGTAGCACGTGTTCCTCTTTTCAGTAAAGATTCCATATATTAATGGGAGACAATGCGATCTGCCAGGTGATATTGTAAAATGACTTCCGTGCAGTATTTAAAGCACTCTGTGTTCCATTCAAGCCTATTTTGAAATGTTGAATAGGATTTTAATTCATGAGTTCTTCTACTGTTCTTTATGAAAATTTTTCTGCTGCTCCTGACACAGAATTATAGGCTCCACCTTCTCTGAGAGGCAGCCAATCACAGTTTCAACCAGTTAAAAAAATAAATAAAATATCACTTTTATCCTCTTTCCCAATGTCTGCATGCATTTTCCCCTAAACACACACACACACACACACACACACACACACACACACACACACACACATTCATTTGCCTTCATCATGACACGGATACATTTAACAAAAAGACAGTAATATGTTTTCTTTTCATTCAAAGAGTGTATATTGCACACGTTGGTTGAAATGAAAAACTGCCTGTGAATGGTACTTTTGAGCAGATGGAGAGTCACTCTGAGCTCCTTGAGGTCTGAGGGACACTGGGTAGCTTTCCTTTTAGTGAGATATGCTTTGCTCCTGATGCTGCGTCAGTCCTCTGCTGCTGATAATTAGACGTCATTATTGCAGCCAAAAGGAACAGAGAAAGAGGAGAGGACAGGCCTGGGCTAATTAACTACTTTTATTTAATGAAAGAGAGACAAATAGCAATTGGGAGGGTACATAAGAACAGACTAGACACACTACATAGACTTAATTGCAACAAGGCAGTCTGTCAATCCCAGAGTTAGAGGAGCTGGGTTTGCCTCTTACTTTCTCTAGAGAATAGACATCGCTTTGCCGGGGCTCTTGCCCCCCGAACCCCAAAACTTAAAACTGAGCGTGCAAAAACAGATTCAAAAATAAAAACTGTCAACAACTGGAAAGGATAAGTATGTCCTTCAACACTTTTCCTGGCCAGGTCTGAAGCTGAGGGGACCTTTCTGCCACTGATGTTTAGATAACTCAGTGGCTGAAACAACACTAGTCGGTCACCAAGCAACCCCATCCTGCAACTCAGCCATCTTAGGTCTGGACGGGGACCTGGATGTGTGCGCTTATGCAGTTTGCTTAACATCCCATCTGCTTATTTTTTTTTTGTTTGATTTCATGCTACTGCTCTTAGTACATTTTTAAAATTAAAAGCTCTGTCCAAAAAAAAAAAAAAAAAGACTCAGCACATATCTGCCGGTGATCGTAGCAAACTCAGCCAGAGACAATATCAAATAAGCAGGAGTATGACTGCTATCTTTACTGCTTTGATAGTTCTTTAGACGCTTTTGATCCTGATTGACACATTGTTTTTTGACAGCAATTAATTGAAACACAGTCACAGTCTGAATTACTGCAATATTTTCCTCCACTTGATAGTATGGATGGTAAGATAAAAATAATAAAAAATAATCTTTCTTTCTGCATTATGACTAATGCACTGTCTTGTACCTTTAAAAAACCTCATTACATTGTATAAAACATTAATGAGAAATTTAGTAATTCGGTGTTTGCAATCCTTCTTTTAGCTTTAAATCAGTGAATACTCTATAATCAAATCAAAGACTATTTCCTTGACCTTTGTTTTTAGGGAAAGAAACCAAGATGTAAGCTTTGCTTCCCTATACTCTAATCTATATTTACTTTACTGTGGAGCATAAAATGAAATTTCTTCCACAAAGGAATATGCAGTGTCTTTAGTGATGCAATTTAAAAATGATGATTTATTCCGTCCTGCAATCTGTAGCTTCAGAGTTCACATTGTTCTTGCTGTGCATACTACTAATTGATGAGTGCAAAGTGATGACAATGAATATTCATGGACAAGATCATAAACAGTTAGCATTTTGTTAGTTCTCTGACTATGGTGTGCATCACAAATCCTTTATTCTAACCGGGGTGAGAGAAATAATAACTTCAAAGAATCTTCACCTACGTCCTCCCCTTCTAACAGCATGCATTTGGAAGCATCTCATGTACTAGACCATCATCTGGAATTTGCTACAGATCTCAGAGAGGAGAAACCGTGCTCAGAATCCATTATGTTGTGTGCCTGTAAGAGACATAAGTCATCAAGGTGGTTGTGTTTTTGTTAATCTATTCTTAGATAGAACCGGGTTCCTCTGACACAGGCAACAAAATAACATATCATATCTACAACATCAATTCTGGGAATGAAGTAGGGTCCAGAAATGATGCCAGCAACGTTGCTTATGGAACATCCTCAGTAATTCCTTGTGCCATTGTCATGAGAAACAACCACCTATGATCTTTCTTGTTCGGGGTCAGTGTAAGCTCTAAGACACTGGGGACCTTCAGTGAAGGCCACTTGTGTGAGTGTCAAATGGCAGGACACTTAGATCTAAACACCTCTGCGTATAAGGACTATGTGAAGACTATCCCCAGATGAGGACCCTAAGAAAATAACTCTTAACTTTGACATCCATTCTTTATCATCTTAATAGTAAATACAATGGGAGGGCTGTCGACAGTAGTAATTACCTATTTCTTCCTCTGCCATCTGAATACTTTGCTTCAGGATTTTATTTTGTAGACTCACTGCATAAGATGGAAAAAGGTGAGGAAGCAGAGCCTGAGATACGCAGCAGAACTCTCAAGACCTTCAGTTCTGTGTCAGGATCACATAGATATCTCCCCCAGTGCTATTGTATCTGCCAAGACTTCTACTAGTATTGTCTAAATAAGAATGATCAAGATGAATCTATCCACTGTGGTTTAGATCCATTCTTTTTTCAAAATCTCTGTATGACAATATAAAAATAATGGAAACTAGTTGCAGGAAGCAGGGTTGTCCCTTCTAGGCAACCATCACCATCAGCCAATTACTTTGTTGTCTCTAAGAATGCATATAGCAAAAGCAGTTTAGATATACTGATTAATAGTTGTATAAAGACAGACAGACATAATATCACCAAACTGGATTTGCAATGTTATGCT